CCACTACCAACTCGGACCCAAGCACGACCAACTCGGACTCAACAATGACTTAATCATTAGTTTTCAGAGATTATATTTAAAGGTCATCTTAGTTACAGTGCTTATATATAGTGAACATATTCTGTACTAAATTGGTCAGAATTGGGCTTTTAATTTTGTTGTTTGATCATACTACGTTGATTTTAATTATTTTTGGGTACTTGGAAATGGCACGTGTTGTTTATACTCCTGTCATTTAATATAATTTTTTTACCCATTTAGGCAGTTAATTTCATTTAATTATATATTTAAATTCACTTACTTTTTTTTTGGTAAAGCATATTACACATTTTTTTCAGTGAGGAAGTTATTAATTTGAAATAGACCTTTCATTTCATGTAATTGTTAGTTTTTTTAATTGTTTTTTTTTACGAATCTGTCTAACTTTTAATATTTTTTTGATTAACTTTTTCCCCGTGGAACATCATAGTCGAACATACAGGCAGCTACCTGTAAGGCCTTGAAGGATAATCTTCCCAGAGCTCCAACACTCCTTTTTGATGATTGACATTTCATCTTTTTGTAGGGTACTTAATAAGTTTATCTTTTTTTACATGCTGGCTTTTAATTTTGTGGTTTTTTTTACGAATCTGTGTAACTTTTTATACTTTTTTGATTAACCTTTTTTGTTCAATATGGAACCTTCGTTTTTCTTGCAGTATACAATGGTGTTTATGTGGGTTTTGTTTTAAATACATGTACATGTACATAGAATAGACTTTGTTTTTATACCTTATTTATTTTATTTAATGACTTATAATATGTTTACTTATATTCATTGAATTAATAATGCCATGTTTGAAAGTGTTTATGTTTCAATGTCTTACTTTCCAATTTTATTTTTCCATGAAGATCTCTGTTCTGAATGTATGTGGTTTGAACTAAAAATGAAATAAATCGCTGTTAAATTGAGCAAGATGGCGTGAACGATGTCAAATATAAACATGAATAATTGGTTAAACTTTAATTTTAATTACTTTTGGTTAAAGCGCAATATGTTTCAATGGAAACAAATAATAAAAATGAATAATTAATTACACTTTTAAAGCGCATTACAAAATAGCATTTCAATGCACTTTACAACGACAAACTGCTGCAATACAGATATTTTACCTGACAACTACAATGACAATTTATACATAACAGCATCACTGTATTAACAGATGATAAGTGGACAAACTTTATAATATTGTCGAATGATTGAAAACGCTGTCGAATTATTGTAAACGATGGGTCCGAGTTGGTCATGCATGGGTCCGAGTTGGTAGTGGGTCCGAGTTGGTTGTAGGTCCGAGTTGGTAGTGGGTCCGAGTTGGTAGTTGGTCCGAGTTGGTTGTCGAGTGGTTTGGGTCCGAGTTGGATCGAACCCCCCCCCCCGGCCCCTGACTCGGTGACGTCACGGCATAGTCAGGGAACCAGACTGCGTGCAACAATGGCGACTTCGGTAGCTTCAGCGCATTCGGCAGGAGGTTTGTCTTTTTATTAAATCGAAATAATTCATGATATTGGTGTATATTATTTGATTTTATTATATCAATGCATAGTAAAACCTCTTTCAAGTCTTATATCATGAAGGTTCTGTAAATAAGGCAAGAAAAAGGCCAGAAGAGAGACGA